CTTTTCTTTCATGTAAAAAAGAGTTTTGTGTTTCATATATTGCAATTCGTTCGGCATTCTTGATGTCAGACGGATTATCGAGTAAAATGAAAAATAAGAAGCAGAACAAACACGGACCTCCAAAACATCAGAGGTAGGATCAGGTTTCATGGAGGAGTGAGCATCCCCTGTCGACCGCTGTGTGCTCCTTGTCACGATCATAACCGGAAATAAGTTCAAATAACAGAAAATACGTCGTCAATCCGGTATATAAATAATGGACTAACAACTAGTGTGGAAAAATGTCAGTCAGCATTTGACTCAAGGATAAATTGTATTTGCTGACTAGGCCATTGTATCGTCCACAAAACATGAAATGAAGACTTCAAACGGTACTGCTGGTATTCTTGCTTCATTAACAATTTACCTCGTTTGATAAATTGTTCATACGAAGAGCATGCTCTTGCGTTTCGAATCAACTGAGATATATAAGCTTTGTTGGATTACCATTAACGTCTTTTTAAAATATCGAAATATGAAACAGATGTGCCAAACTCTGTGTTCTCTTTATCTCAGGCTCACCAGGACATATCGTATCGACATAAGAATGGAAATTACCATTAATTGACAATACGTTGTCGATATATTTAAATGTCGAGTTGAAGGCCACAGAATGTGTATTCCTCTTTTCACGAAAGAGATTTTAGGTAAATTCTGCTTCATATGAATACAAAAATAGGTCTGCCTATAACGGGGCACAATTGGTATCTATGGCTGGGTATTCCATGGATTGTTGGAAAATTTGGTCTCCATAAACAAGATAGATATTGTCAATCAGAAATCAAGCATCTTTTTGATGTCAAAATCAGAGTACTTGGCTGAAATAGTACCGAATCGGCGTTAAACATTTCAATCAGGGTACTTATGTGTAAAAAGAAAGGTAATGTTTAAAAATAATACTCTGACATGATTTTAAAGCATTTTAGTGTAAAAAGGAATTTACAAAGAGAAATTTTCATTACCTAAGCACTTCTTAATGATTGAAGATGGCATTTAAGTCTATAGATAAAAGTACGTTTAGGAAAATGAAAAAAATTACTACAAATATAAATAAATGCCATGGCGGAAAATGTTGTTAACCATTAGGAAGAGATAAAACATTTTTCACAGGATATATTTTATGGGAACTAATTTTTATTGAGCAAAACCAAAAAAGGAAAACTCTTCAGGGACAGGACATGGTCATAATGTAGGGCATGTCCCACTTTTACAAACTGATTCTAATAGATGATTATTTCTATACACGCTGAGTACTCGGCCCTTACATATCTGTTATGCACTCAATTCCATTGAATCTAAGGCTAAGTTATTCTGCAAGTATATGTTTATTCAAAACAACATTATTTTATAGATCGGCGTTTGCCATCTCCCGAGTAAGGCCATAATAAAAATAAGAAATTTGTTTTCCGCCCCGAATAGAAATTCTGTTTAATTCTTGGAATCTTCATAAATGTTTAGTCTTAATTCTCATGTTTTTGCCATTCATTTTTTTTGTGTGACATGACCACAGTGTAAGTAATGACATAAGTGATTGTGGATTTAGCAGCAAAGAAATGTCTTTTTCGTTTTTAATGCATCAATTTGATTTCATTTGGAATTGATAACTACTGTTGATCACGTGACTTTGTGCTATTTTGTCTCTTAAAATGCAATTATTCAGTTAGCTGCAGCTTTCTGCTTGAGAAAATTTACAACTGTTGATCACGTTGTGTAGCTCTAGTCAGTTAGCTGCAGCTCTCGCAGTTAGCTGCATTGCAAAAACTCTCGATTTACGCCGCCCTTTTTTTGTCGAAAATTCATCAAATATTTTGTACTCCAATTATTGATACTTTATTTACCTTTCAATGGCCCGAAACAATCCTTGATGGACTTGGATTGTCGGTTGAAAAGATTCCCATTTTCCTCAACTTCTACAAACGACCCTTCTTGAACCGTTAAGAGGTAAATAAACATTAAGAAATAGGAGTAAATTGTTTGGTTTAACTTTCGGATATTAAAGCTTGGAAAAACAAAATACAATAATACCTGAAATGAGCGACAAAAAATGGGCGGCGTAAATCGAAAGTTTTTAGAACGCATGGATCTGAAGCTCTCTGCTTTATCTGTTCGAATTGACTCAAGCAGAGAGCTACAGATCTGCAGCTAAGTATTATGAATCAGGCTTCATGTGCATGTAAAGTTTATTTTGTTAGTAATACCTGGATGAGTATTTGGCTCAGCTTATGGTGCCTAACTTTAGAAATTATTGTCGGCAGGGGATGCTCACTCCTCAATAGAAGATCTTGAAAATATTTTTTTCATGAATGGAAAGCAGTATGTGCCATAATTGTTATATGCAAGTCACTTTGGTCATTTTATACCAAATTTTTCTTTTGTTTCAGCGTTTTACCAATCATATACATGTACCAATAAAGTTAATCAACACTTTTGAGGTCCTGAGGTTCAATCTGGCTGCGGGTTCCGTGCCATAGGGCAGCACATTAAATTGCCACATATTCGGAAGTGTTACTAAATTTGTTTGCACACACCATTGTAATTATGAGACTAAAACATTTGAATAATAATGATTCATTGCTTAAGTAACTCACTCAGTGAGGTTTTATCACCATTTAATACAAACTCGACTTTTATCCTGATGAAGTCAGTCAATAAGATTTTTATGCCCCCCTTCGAAAAAGGGAGGGCATATTGCTTTGCCGCTGTCTGTCGGTCCACTTAGTTTCCGTTCATTTTCTTCGCTACCGTTGCACATACTGAAATGAAATTTGGTATACGGATATATCACATTAATATATAGGTCAAGTTCTGTTTTGAGTAAAATCGCACCATTTTTGACAGAGTTATGTCCCTTGGACTCAGAAAAATTTCAATTATTATCAGTTTCCGTTCATTTTCTTTGCAATCGTTGCACATACTGAAATGAAATTTGGTATACTGATATATTACATGAATATCTAAGTCAAATTCTGTTTTGGATACGATCACGCCATTTTTGACAGAGTTATGCCCCTCGGACTTAGAAAAATTTCAATTATTTGCAGTTTCCGTTCATTTTCTTCGCATTAGTTGCACATTCTGAAATGAAATTGAGCGTACAGATTTATCAGAGTTTTTGACAGAGTTATGCGCTTTTGGATTTAGAAAAAATCCCAGTTTGGGGGGAGGGGGGCATAAGTGTTTTACAAAATCTCTTGTATTATCATGTGAAACACCCAGCTAAGTTATATCAAATACATGTATATAGGGAAAAATTATCTTCTAATTTGGTATTTTCCACCATTAATGCTGATTTAACGGTAGCAAACTGCGTTTTACTGGCGACGTTTTGAATGTGAAGATAGTGAGGAGATAAAGTATTCATATTTCCACATGCGCAGTACCCCACGTTATCAGAGGAATTTTTTTGTACGTCGTGAGCGTGACCTTGAACTTTGACGTACTTTTAAATCATGTTTACATTATTTTCAATTAGACAGTAGCTTTTGAAAGGAAAAGGTCATGAGTCCGTTTTTAACATGTGTATTTTCTGTGTCAAGGCCGTCTAAAAACACTATATTCAAATTTGATTTTACTATAATGTTACTTGAAGGCCCTCCATTTTTAAAACATGTGGCTCCAATCAGCCACTTACCTTCGCTTTCAAAGGTTATGCCATATTCAATGTAGTATTTTTTTTTAAAAGCAGGTCAAACGTCAAGGTAAAAAAATTAAGTATATATAAAAAAGTCTTGTCACAAGTACATGAAACACACATAAATAATCAGAACTGAATTATGAAAGTCCTATTTCTCCTCATTCAAAAGATATGACCAAAGGTTAAAGTTTGTGTGACTGACGGAGAGACGAATGAAATTTTAAGTCCCCCAGTTTTTCGAATAACAAGTTGGATCAAGTGCAAATTTTCCTTCCACTATAGAAAGATCAAGGAGTTGATCCTTAAAAATGCAATATGAATATTAACTGTACAATGTAAGTACAAGGCCCGGTGTTATTTTAAATAAATTCACATTGTATAATGCAAAACTGTTTACTGATATCAAACAAGAAAGACAAGACTGTATTGCAAATATAAAACAAGAGGCCCATGGGCCACATCGCTCACCTGAGCACTGCGGCTAAGAAAAAGTAGAATTGATTATTGAAAAGTTTAAATCCAAAAGTAGTTCCATGACCAATCAGGGCATTGCTATTCAAAAAGATGATCAAAAGAATACTATATATTTCTATGTAAATCAAAAAGAACAGGGCCATTTTGGCCCCGCCATACCCACCAAAAGGAATCATGATTTGAACAAATTGAATCTACACTACCTGAGCATGCTTCCATATAAATATGATCAATCAGGGCTTTGTTATTCTTGAAAAGATTTTTAAAGAATTTTCCTACATATTTCTATGTAAAACTTTGGTCGGCCATTGTGGCCCCGCCCTACCCCTGGGGGTCATGATTTGAACTAATTTGAATCTACACTAAAAAGGATGTTTCCGTATAAGTTTCATCTTTATTGGCAGAGTGGTTCTTAAGAAGAAGATTTTTAAAACATGCCACCTAAAAATTTTCATTAATTCCCAATTATCTCATCAGAAGAAGGGCGTGGCCCTTCATATGAAAAACTTGAATCTTCCTTCACCCAAGGATACATTGTGGCAAGTTTGGTTGAACATTGGCAGTGGTTCTTAGACCAGAAGTCGATTAAATGTGAAAAGTTTACAGACAGACGGGAATTACCAAAAGACGTAAGCCAAACAAAATGTATCTTCAAAAAAGCTAGAGCCTTCGGCTCAGGTGAGCTAAAAATGAAAAGAAATACGGGTACTATAATTCTCTAAAAACCACTGCCGCACCTTGTGCTTAATAACATATAGACTTGGGAAATGTTAACGTCGTCTTATCTTCATTTTCGTTTACGCGATATTTGAGCAGTTACGGATCGGTGGATACCAGTGACTGTTCCAGGTGTTACACTTGGGGATATGTTAACGTCGTCTAATCATCATTCTGGTTTCCGCGATATTTGCGCCGTTACGGATGGTTGGATACCAGGGTCTCCCCCACGTGTCTGAGTTCCACGGTCCGTTGAGGAAGGCGTTATGACAAGTGTTATACCACCACCCTCCTTTGTTGTGGTCTGCGCAGTTTCCCGCGTGTAAGTCGGCGTCACTGTCGTGTGTACTGAACGCTATACCAGACAGGTCTTTATCACTGGACCCTGTATTCAACATGCTGTCTCCTGTAATAAAATATAAATATTACACTATAATTGGGCTTAAATAAGTCGTGTGGCTTTGTCAACATAATCTGTAGTCATGTGCTAATTAGGTAACATTGAGACCTACTTAAGCCACGAACATGAAAATGTGAAGTAGCAGAAAAGGATTTATTTTGAAGAGGAACATTTGTGCAGTGACGTAACATCGAAGCATCCGAGGGGAGGGGGGCAGCAGAGAAAAAAAATACTTACCTGAAAAGGTTGCCAAGCGAAAAAAGATATTTGTTCAAACTCCAAAATCCTATTTCGGGGGTAGGGGGTCGAGATTGTAGAGGAAAACCTTTTTTTCAATACCTACTTCTTTTAGTGCCACTTTTTGCTAAAAATGCTACAATTCCCATATTTCTGAATACAGTAGCAAAACGGGGGATGGGGGAGGGCAACCGGCCCTTTAATGAACATTTTCAATAGTGAAGGTTATGTCTGGAAAAAACGGGGGCAGATCCCCATGTTGCTACGTGCCTGTTGTATCCTATAAAGGAATGTGTTGTAGTTTAAAGGAAACAAAGAGTAACTACACCACTCTAAGAAAATGTTTTTAAAAAAATAGAAAAGAAAAAAGTGGCACGAAAAGCACACGTGCTCTAGACCCTTTTTCAAAAATGGTACAAGAAGTCTCTGAGAGACCGTAGCTCTAATGGTCTGTATATATAAGATTCCTTTGACTCGAACCCATTTTTTAAAGTGTGACATGTACAGGGGAGGGTCAGAGAAGAGGCAGCACTGGAAAGTGGGATTTCAGGGACACCAGCTGAGTCGCAACTTTGAACCTTTCTACAACTTTATTTCGTAGGTCTAACTATTGAGAACCGCGAGAAATCAGTAAATGTACGATTCTTCTACAAATTAATCATAAAAAATGTTATCGCCATTTAAACGGCCCTGTCGCCGACAAATGAGGCATTTTACGTGAAAAAGCGACCTTATTCAAATGATGCTTCCATTTTCGACCCAAATCCAAATTCATATATTGAGGCAGTAACCATATATTCTGTTTGTAATGCAACTTATTTCTACATCTAACCTTACAAATGAGTCATGAAACACCTACCCGATATAGACACATCTCTGCAGTTAAAACTAAAACGTCAAAAGCGTAAACAATGATTTACGAGGGGTTATCAAAAAGTTAAAGGACTGGCGCTATAAAATAAAAATACTATGTTAGCTGGGTTATAGAAATTTATTGTCGACTTGAATATATACAAAAGTTGAAGTTATTCTGAAAATTTCAACTCTGTACTTTGCAAAACAATAATTTTATCGTAAAATAAATAATACAAGTTGCGGTAACAAAACTGCTGTATCCGGACAAGTATTATTGCAAATATGCAACGTCACCACGTCATGAGTACTCTCCAACTGCGACAAAACACAAACACTCTTCATGGCGATGTATCCAGGAGTGAAATATGGACTGATATTAGTCCTGTTGATAAGATCCAAGTGTCTAATTTACTGCTGACTTCAGCCCTGTGATGAAATTTTCTCCCTCGTAAATCGCCTCTCAGTCTTGAAAAGAGCGCAAGGTGCGAGATCCGGTGAGTACGGTGGGTGGGGCAGAATTTCGGCTCCTAGCTGTAAGTTGATTGTAAGTACAGTCACTACTGATATGTGAGATGGAGCATTGTCATGATGTAGAAGAATGTTTTCCCGATTTATGTAATATTCAGGCCTCTTTTTCCTAAGGGCGCCTAAATTCTTTGATAAAACCTAGAAATATAAAATCAGCAGTGCAGTTGCGTGTTAATATTTAAAAAAATATATTTTTGTTAATAATCAAAATATTCGTTCGTTTTTATAATTGCATAATCAATATTTAAATTAATTGTATTACTTATTACTTTTATTGGGTATGTGTGGATTAAATCAAAGTTTGGCCTACAGTACTTAATATTTCTTTTAATGAAATAATAGTTATATCTAACCTTTGAGTAATATTTTGCATTTACTGATCCCCCTTTAGGCACAACATGACTTAAAATAACTCAACGTGTGTCAAAAAATATTATTATAACATGTGCTTTTCACAAAATTGACAGACTCTGGCCTTTTTGGGAGGGGGTGAATTAGACCCAATCCACTGCATTGACATTTGTTTACTTTCCGGGTCAAAATTGGATATCCAATTGGATTTTGTCTACAGTTATGATTCGGTCCAAAAATTTTGTTGATCATTGCGAAATCGGCACAGAAACTTTTTTGATTCTCCAACTCTTCTGACTTTTTCAAAATCTTTTAAGAGTCTTGGCACCCATCTTGCACACACCCGGGACATTTTCAAATCTTTGTGTGCAATGTTGTAAATGGATCCACACGAGATAAATAGATCTTCACTCAACTGCGTTTATTTAATCCGTCTATCCGAGTTTAAGATTTCCCTTACTCGATGAACGTTATCTTCAGTCGTGACAAGTTTTGGGCATCCGACTCACAAATCGTCTTCACATGAGTCTCTGCCGTCTCGAAATCGTTTATGCAACTTAAAGACAAGTGATCTCGACACATTTTTACTTTCCCCTACCTGATCAAACATCTCCATGGTCTCTTTTGGGATATTTACCAAGTTGAACACAAAACTTGATAACATTCCGTGAAAAACTTTCCCCTCCGGCGTCATTTTTCACTCTCGTACAATTTTGACCAAACTCAATAAAAAATGGTTACTGAATTCCACAGAATGCACAAAATGCAGTGAAAATTTAAAATATTACGGCACAGTTGTATAAAGTCAAAGTGTAAAAATTACGGGAAAGTTTGATGTGATATAGTCATTATTTTTCAATTTATTTTTTACACTTTAAGATCAGAAATTGTCACATTTTGAGGTTGCACCGACTAGACAAAACATCGCATATGTTAAAATGTAAATGTTTTAAAAATAATAATTTAAATGTAAAATCTTCATAGTATATAGGAAAAATGTATATTTACTTATACTTCAAATTTCATTGAAGTACCTTGAACAGTATTAATTTTATAGCGCCAGTCTACAAACTTTTTGATAACCCCTCATAAGGTAGGATTCTTCTCATATTTTATTTCTTGTATTAAAAAATTGATGAAAACAATATCACAAAGTAATGGTATCAGTGAGATTAAGATTGACCGCTTGATATTCGAGGCAAGGCCAGGTCAATACCTTTGAAACGGTTGGGAGTTATATCCCTTGTGTTATATTGTATAATTAAGAAATAGCTGTAAATAATGTAATTAACAGGTTATTTGATTAAATGACTTTACAACAAAGAATGTTATAAAAATAAACATGCACTAAAAATAATTGTTTAGTTAAGGCGAGAAAAGTATGCTCAGAAAAATGTTGCCAGAAAGTCACTGAAATTTATCAACATAAAGATCATATAAGTAAGCAAATGGTCAGTGGCTTCGGGGTCGAACGTTTATAACCAAATTGCTGGTGAACGAAGCTTGGTCAGCGACATTTGTAAGTTAGTAATAATCTCAAGTGTTAAATTAATTAGTGAAGAAGCTATTGATTATATTGACAATAGGTGAACATGTATAGCCAGTTGACGGATATAGCATTACCAAGTGACGGGTTTAGCCAAGTGACTAAAAAAAGTTGGCGATTAGATTGTAAAAGCCAATTGGCTGTAGTGTTGCCAAGTGGCTAGAAATACCTTGGGGCGTTTGGTATTGACTTTCTAAAGTATTGCCAAGTGGGTATAGTCAGTCGTCGTATCTATAGCCAAGTGGAGTCGGTTATAGTCAGTATCTATAGCTTAGTGGCAGGAATATCTGTACTGTAAATATATTGTTTAAATTTAGGGGTGGGACAAAATACAAATCTTGCGATACGATACTTATCTCGATACATTAGCACGATACGATACGTATCTCGATATTAAGCTAAATTATAAAACTATTCAAAAGTATTAGCATTTTTAAAATATTTCTTTTTTTTTTGTCTTGACATTAAATCAACAAATTATTCTATATCAGATTATGTGTGCTTTGAAATTAATTCTTGAAGTTCATCAATTTCATTGACTAAAACTTTACAAAAACAACAATACATGTACATATTATTATTACCAAATTACTTTTGAGTAGTTGTTTACAAACAGTTGTGTAGTTCATCAGAGACCTCTGACTGAAATTCATTTTAAAAGCATCACATCTACATTATCATTAATTGCTTAAAGTCTGTAGCAAAGCTCTGATTACAAAAAATGTACGAGATGGACTTACAATCAAAAATATCTAATTGTTCTGCAAACGATACTTTCTGTATATAGCACGCATTACATACTGAAATTTCCTTGTCCAGTTCTCCGAGGCTGCTTAAAAGTAAAAATTTTTTACCCCTAACCAACAACTTATTAGTTCTAAAGTGTGTTTGCAATAACCAACATCGTCTGTTCGCTTCGTATAAGCCCCCATTTTCCGAAAACAGATACTTTCATTTTCAATTTTGAATAGGTCGTTCCCGTATCGTTTCGTACCGATATTTAATTGCTTGTATCGTAAACCGTATCTAAGAGGAAAATATCGGTATGTATTGGTATATCGTCCCACCCCTATTTAAATTACACACTATAGGCAAGTGTCCTCTATATTTGTATATAAAGCATTTGCTGATTTGTATATTTTGCATTTACTATTGTCCTTATAAGACTTGACATAACCAAGTACGAGCTCAAGTAGATCGCTCGGGTCCCGCACGTTACACCTTTTCCATGGATATTACGAATGAAAAAGTACTGATGCCAATCATACCAATTCGTTTTGCATAGAAAGATATTACCACAAAGGGCCTATAAGATGATTAAAAAATTGACATAAATAATTTAACTACAATAGATATTGGCTTATCCGAATTTTCTCCATGTTTCCGAATTTTTAGCATTAAGTTGGCTTTGAAAAAGTTGAAATCACTACCCCCCCCCCCCCCCCCCCCCCCCCCTGGTCAGAGACCAGAACAGCTTATGCTTGTCAAT